TGCTGTGTTTTTAAGCAGGTTTTTCTCAACTGATTTAGCCCATTAAACACTTAAACTCCTGTCCACTTAATTATGGAGACATTTTGAAAAAAAAAAAATGGACAGAATTTTTGGACCAAATCCCATTTCACCCATTGCCCCTACCACTCAGCCCTTAGCCCTCTGTTTTGCACGTTCACATCTAGGGGTAGGGTGTCCCAACTGTTGTTGAGAGAGAGGGGTGGGGTGAAGTGTTTGGGCTACATGGCCCTCCAAACGGAGGTTTTTCAGAGACTCCAAAAAGAGTGTTATGAGAAAAAAAGGAAAACAGGCAAGATGGCTGAACAAAAGTCCAAAGAACTATTAAGTGCGTGGAAACACACTCAGTGATAACATGATTATCTCTGTTGTCGGAACAAAACCTTGTATTTCTAAAATGGTGACTTTACAGGAGAAGGAAAAAACCTACTTTACTTTTAATGTAAGTCAATAGAACCAGAATTTTTCCAAGTGTGAGAATTTTCTCTGTTACAAAATTACAGTAACTATCGTTTTATCTTAGTTTGATGTTGTTTCAATGTATTATGGTCCTTTTCTTCATATCAAGCATAAAAAATCTCTAATAGCATCCTAATGTCTCGATAGCTAGCTAGCTAACTTTCCCGTTCCACCTTAAATGGTCCAGCAGTTCTGACGCCTGAAGCGCCAGAATGTAACTGCTGCACCATTTAAGGGGGAACGGGAAAATTTGAACAAGAAGCTGGTGAATATCTGACTTCAGCTTCATATCACTGAAGAATTAGGGGGGGTGATAATAAATAATTGCCCCCCTCTTTGAAGACACATGATGCCCTAAATGTAACTAAAGCCCAGCAGTGAGGAGCTGAACTTTACCCTCCTCTGCTGTCACTGCAGACTGGCAGGGTCACCTACAGAGCAGCGCTAGTAGCTGTTAATGAAGTAATGTTGTTATTTATTTTTAATTTGAGGGTGGTCCCATTTTGTAGGGCAAGATTTCAACTACTACCCCTTGTAACTCAGTTCCAGTGAGTTTCTCGTGCTAAAGTGAGTTTAGCGTGAGTAAAAACAAACTCACACACATCAGCAAATCCATCAATGTGTGAATCACTTCTAATCTTTATACACATAAAAATAAAATAAACTCCCAAAACACAGTAAGAAGGACGAAGCTGAATGGCTTCCTATTCGCCAACTTCTTGTTTGAGTTTTTCCGTTCCACCTTAAATGGTGCAGCAGTCACTTTCTGGTGCCTGAAGCTGCACCATTTAAGGTGGAATGGGAAAATTCTAACAAGAAGCTGGTGAATAAGAAACTGACTTCAGCTTCGTGTTAGAAGATGCTAACATTAATCTATTATGAATATCTACACGGATTAAGGAATACTATAATTTAACTAGCTACAAAGCTTTAACCACCATTATAAATAAATACTACGTAAAGTTAAAATCCTCTGAATAGACTATTAAATCAAATAAGCTTAATATAAACCAGAGGAAGAACAATCACATCAGCAGGTTCTCTGTGCTTCACCAACCACACGACCATATCTACATACACATCACACAAACAATACGCATCAGATAATCATGAGCGTGCATCGCTGCGTTCCGTCTGTTATATAATCCTATTCTGCTTTCTGAGTGCAGTATTCTTGAAACAGTATCTGTAATGGTACTGAATGCAGTCCAGCAGCGATGTTGAAAGCCCTAAAATGGCGGCGCCGTTGACGTGCCTGACTGGACCCAACGCGGCATCTAGATATGGATATCTATGGGTTGTACTATAAGAGGTTAGCATTCATTGGCAAACGTGAAAATGTTATAGAAGCAGCTTTAATATTTTTTCCTGTTTTAGGAAAAAAGTTAAGAAGTCTAAAGAATAGAAATCTAATATTCTCTTTTCTGTTTTTACATGTGTGGGGTGAGGCTAATGTAGCTAACAAGTAGCAGAAGTTTACTTATGCGAATAACCCAGTAAAGGCCCGCCGCCGTGGTTTGGCCTCAGGAGGTCATGTCGACCCAGTCCGATTATAGGCCTAACCAAAATTGGTTGGCATACAGACCTCTGAAGGTGTGTCGTCATGCCGTAGTCCACCCATTTCAACGCAAAGGAGTGTTAGCTTGCATGTAGCATTATCCATGTTACGACTCCTTAATGACCTCCTGATTCAGAGGGTCCAGCGAGATTTGGGGGAAAATGTACACGGGACAAAATGTTTCACCTTTGGAACTTCTTTGGTTTATAACAGGGCCTGATATCAGCAATTTTAGAAAACAGAATTCATTTTTACTTTAGACCCGGAGTTCCTAATATGGGCATGACGCCAATTACATAACCCTTCTGGCTTGCGTTCACACTTTCCTGTTTAATGGTTGTTCAATTCCTGTCTAAAAGTACACATGAAAGGCATGCATGAAACAGACTCAAACTCTTTTTAAGTGGCACAGACTTCTACATTAGCCTCATAGCTCCAACGCAAAACTAAAGAAGCAAATTTCAGACAATTTCAGTGAATGCGCCGTGCCCAAGGACCTAAATTGGTCAAAGGGAACATGAATTTGAGGGGGAACTGAATCAGATACAACATTGGCAGCAGCTTTTGCTTACAGTTTATTTTTAGTTTTCTTACCTATTTTTGGAAGGTGGAAAAGTGTGTGGAGGACCTTGATAAGGCCTGTTTCCAAAATGTCGTAGAGCCAAATCGATTTGAACCAGAACACACAAATGATTTGCAGCGGCTTGAAGGGAGCAAACAAGCGAGAGAGAGAGAGACAGAGAGAGAGAAAGAGAGAGAGAGAGAAAGAGAGAGAGAGAGAGAGAAAGAGAGAGAGAGAGAGAGAGAGAGAGAGAGAGAGAGACTGAACCCACTGGCGCTGAAGCAGAAGAACCCAGGGTGAATGGAAATTGACGGTGTTAACAACAAACTACTTGCTACTCTGCTCTCCAGTTTATGGGGCAGGACAGCGAGGAGCAACTGTGATCTATCACAGCTCCTCTGATGAATAACGTTACTCACATAAGCTCTGAGCTTTGTTGACACAACACCACCAACTCAAACAACACGAAAGAGCGGAGGGGTACATGCAGGGCGTTGTAAGGAAAAATAGTCCCCAAAGAAAACACATTTTTTTGAATTTAGCACTATTTTACCATCATCAGCACGACATGGAAACCTTACAAGACACATGGAAGTTCACTGGTCATTTTGGATAAACAGATGTATTTGCAGTGTAGACATACAGACGTCTAGTTCCCAGTACTATAATAGCTACGTTCACATTACAAGCTTCATTTCTCAAATCAGATTTTTTGCTCAAATCTGATCTCTCTGACATGATGGTTCACACTCGTATAGGTGATTCAAATCTGTCATTAATGTGAACTAACTGGCGTCCTGAAATGACCCACATGAGCACATCCTACTCAGTAACGTCACGTGAATGAATTGCGTCACGTGCATCATCAGCAAACAGACTAACGAGCAGAACGAGCTTCACTGAGAGGATAATTAACTCTGATCAGCTCTCAGCTTCATTATTAGAGCCAGACGAAGGAGAAAAAAGTGAGATGAGCTGCTTTTCCACCATTTACAGGCTTTAACTTCTGTTCAGGGCTGCTGCCATGGTAACGCTGAATGATGGCGCACGCGCAGTCGAAAAAAAGCATATGAATTCCGATTTGAAGGTTCACATTAAGGTCGCATGGCCACGAATCAGATAGGTATCCGATCTAGGACCAGAAAGTGACTCAGGTCGGATTTGAAAAGATCAGATTTGTGTCCACACAGCCCTGAAAACATCAGATTTGAGTCACATTAGGGCAAAAAATCGGATTTGTGCCACTTCAACCTGGTAATGTGAACATAGCCAATGGTGAACAATTGTGACTCTGTAAATTTCTCTAGACAGGCACATTTCACACCAAACCACTGAATGATTTTGTTTACGTCTAAACGGTTGAATGATTAAGGAATTTTGCAAAATTGGTGGAGTTCCCCTTTAAACATGGTTTTTGGAGGTTCCTGAATTGCAAGTTTATAATTAATTTCAAAGCCTATTATGGAATTATATTTTAATTATATTATAATAGAGTATAATATTTGTGAGATCACAGCTGAAAATGTTTTAGCACCCCATGAAATGAAGTATAACATTTAAAAATAAAACATTCTTTATTAAAATGAACACTCAAAACACAAACTTTCAGTAGTACAGATTATGTACAAAATCTTTTTAAGATTATGCTGGGAAGGAAACGCCTGCATATGTACAAGAGACAACTGGTGTTTGTAGCCAGTTTTGCATAGTATAGTAGTTCAGTATGGCAGCTGAAGATGACATACAGTATTAACCCTATCAAAACCAGCTGCCCTGCAGACGGGATTAAAATTCCATGTTGTTTTTTGAGCAGCGTTGCGTCTTTGGCAGTTATAAGCATTAAACAACAACAACCAGTGTAGTAACAACATAAACTGCACAGTAACAAGCAGCTGACGGGCGGGTGCTGAAAAGACCCCTCTACCTTATTGTTATTACTTAAGAATAACCCCTCAAGTAACTACTGAATAATAAGACTTATGATGAAATAAAAGTCACTAAGAGGTTATATGTGGCACTGCAGTTTTGCTGGTGCATTTAGTCTGTTTGTAAACCTCAGAAAAACATATGTAGATTATTACTGTATTCTTGGAAATCTGCTCACTGCCCGACTCATTAAGATCTGGTGTTTTCCCATTAAATGCATTGAACAAATTATTGACAAAATCTGATTTTCTGTAGGTATTGGATTATTAAGTGCATGGAAACACACTCAGTGATAACGTGATTATCTCTGTTGTTGGAAGAAAACCTCATATCTCCAAAATGGTGACTTTACAGGAGAAGGAAAAAACCTACTTTACTTTTAATGTAAGTCAATAGAACCAGACTTTTTTCAAAGTCATTTGAGGTCATTTCTTTTAGTCCATTTACCATGAAATTTACAAACAATGTAAAGGTTAAAAGGTATTTTATGTCAAAAACGTCAAAAACTGAGATACGGGGTTTTGTTCCGACAACAGTGATACGTAGAACACAACATGGAATTTCCTCCTCTTGCTGGCAGCATGGCTGATCTGAGGCAGTTATACTGGCCCTGAGAGAGAGAGGGAGAGAGAGAGAGAGATGGAGATAGGGATAGGGGATAGAGAGAGGGAAATGAAGAAAGAATATGGGGGAGGCCAGTTGTTAAATGAATACTGGCCTTTGATACAGCACTGTCATCAGCTTGTCTGCTAAAGTCTCTGACCTTTCAAGTCCATTTCAGTCCCCATGAGAGAAAAAATAATCAAAGTTATGTAAATTAATGCCTTTCCCTTCCTCTTCCGCTACAGGCAGGAAGTGATGCTGGCTTTGCTGACATGAGGGGCTGACTGAGAAGACCTGGGGGAGGCGACGAGCACGAGCAGGGAGGAGAGTAGCTCTGCTTGTCCATTTTAGACATGAACTGCAATCTGTGCCTGACGGGAAACAAACAGACACACAGGAGCCATAAATGGAAGCCAAACTTTAAACCATGGTGAAAAATGCAGGAAACAGTCAGAAAGCACATAAGCAAGTCTATTTGACATCATTTAAAGGGGAATTCCACCAATTTTTCTAAATGTCTATGATTAAATGGTTAAGATGTAAACAAAGTCATTCAGAGTGGTTTAATGTGAAATCCTCAGTTATAGAGAAACGTACAGAGTCCGAATTGTTTACAGTGGTGGCGATAGGAACCAAAGTGTTTAATGCCCTTAAATGCTCCCTCACAGAGAGCTATTACATAAAACAGTCCCAAACACATCCAGAGGCTTGGTTGTACAATACTATGAGATAATATAGATAATATATTGGTCTAAAATGTATTTTTAAACCCATTCATGGGGAGGGGTACATGCAGGGCTGTGAGGCAAAAACTTCCCCAAAGAAAACATACTTTCTCAGATTTACCACTATTTTTGCATCATCAACATTACTAACAGCTCACAAGGCGCGTGTAAGTTCAGTTTTGGATAGTAAAAAAATGGCTATATTGGTGCTGTAGACACTGTGACCCCTGGTTCCATTCATCACCACTGTAACATACAATTTCACATCAAACCACTTTGTTTAGGTCTCAACCACTGAATCAAGCAGATATTTAGACAAATCAGTGGAATTCCTGATATGGTTTGAGCCCAGTGATGATTTAGGCCTGCAGTTCACATAATGCTGACTGGTACATTAGCCTCATAGCTCAAAAAAGAAAACTTCAGACAGAAATCGTCTTGGCTGATTGATTATGTTTGGAGTAACGGGAACTGCTGAACTGAATTTCCTCTGATTTTTCCAAATTTCTAACTCATATGAATAAGATGTAAACCGAGACGTCTCTCTGAAGACTCATGTAGGTTCACTGCGGGTCTTAGATAGTAAATACAATGGCTATATTTGCACTGCAGATATTGTGACCCCTGGTTCCATTCAAAGTAAGTTTCTCTACAATGAACTGTTTCCACTCTAAATGACTTTGTTCAAGTATCGACCACTGAATTAAATCTGGTTGACTTCCCCTTTAAGGATGCAATGAGAGCGGAACTGAACTAAAGAATAATAAAAGGTCAGTACCTGAGAAAGTAGGCAAAGAGCATGATGATGGTGACGAGGAGACACAGCCCAAACGCCCACAGCACATACACCCACGTTACATCAATGCCATCAGCTGCCTCTGTTAAAGCAGAGAGAGAGAGAGAGAGAGAGAGAGAGGGTGGAGGAAGGACGAGTATCAGAGGAGTGTCCAGTCTTGACAGTCAATTGTCAATAAACACTGTTCGCCGCTGCATTCACAAATTCAAGTTAAGACTATAATGTCCAGAAACACTGCCAACGTTTCTGGACTCAAGCTCTCCTGAAATGGACTGATTCAGAGTCAAAGCCTTTATTGTAACATTCTGCAGGTGTTACAACAGCATGGCTGTGTAATCAGAGTGTGCGGGTGCTGGACTGGCCTGCCTGCCTCCTATTGACAACGTGTGCCGCATTATTAAGTCCAAAATACATATACAACAACAAAGACGCCGTACATTTGCAGAGCTGAAGACTTGTATAACTGAAGAAGTGCAAAAAATCCACTTTCAAAACTCCCATATTTGGAATGAGCGTAAAGTTACTGTAAGGGTCCAGTCTGTGCGGGGCCGGCCGCCAGCAGAGGGCAACAGCGGCGAAGTGCCATAAGTTCAGGGAACTCCAATTCCCAGAAGTCCTCAGGCTGATTAGGCCTAACCTGACACACCTGTGGACTCCTCTACTTAAGGCTGTGGCAAACAGCAGCCCTTTGTCACACCTTTGTAGAGGGGTGACTGGCACAGTATGCAGTCTAGGTGGGTATTTAAATAAAAAGAAAAGAGGGCTGGAAGAAACAAAAGAGAGTAATTGCCCTAAAATAAAAAAAAAGGCTTGAGCTACAAACGGCTCCAAGCCATACAAGTGAAACAAAGTCTGCCTTCCCCTCTTAATTACAGAGGAAGTCATTTTATTTTCTGATTATCTTTTATTTCACATTTCTAGTTCAGCCTCTGTCTACTAGGTGAACCAACAAGGTAGGAGTGTCTAGTAAACTGGACTGCGAGTGGTCACAGTGTTTAAAAACTCCAGCAACACTGCTGTCTGATTAACTCTCTTGATTAATGGTCAGGTCCTGTGGGGGTCCTGACCACTGAAGAACAGGGTGAAAAATATATATTTATTAAGTGTACATTAAATCTCAAACTCTGTTCACACTGTATACTTTATTCTGTCGCGCAACAATCAATTCAGCAGGTTTCTGCTTTACTGCAGTTATTTGCTCCCAAACTGAGACAGAAATACAATAAAAGGAAACACTATCAACAACGTCTATAGACAAAACAAATACTCACATTGACACGCCAAAGATATTCCTCACACTCAGGAACAGTCTCATCCAGGATGTAAAACGCAGTGACATTAGGATGTTCCTCAGCACGGCAAAGTGCACTGGCTTCAGCCCCACATGACTTCAGCAGGGCAGTGCAGATAACTGTGTAATACAGAGAACAGATCACAATACAAATGTGGTGCTCAGTCCATAATAAAAACATCCTGACAAATTATGATGACCCAAAGCCTCAAGACAATCAGAAGACAACAGCTGGGCTCAAAGGACAACACCCTAACACTGGTTGAAATAAGAAAGACCCAGGCCCAATCCCATTTCTTATTTTGACCCATACCCCTTGTTTTCGAGTGTCTCCTTGCCCCTTGGAACTGAGTTACAAGGGGTAGTGGTTGAAATGTTCCCCTATGAAATGGGACCCTCAAACCCTCAAGAGCACTACTTCATTAACAGCTACTAGCGCTGCTCTGTAGGCGACCCTGCCAGTCTGCAGTGACCGCAGAGGAGGGTCAAGTTCAGCTTCTCACTGCTGGGCTTTAGTTATATTTAGGGAATCATATGCCTTCAAAGAGGGAGGCAATTATTTATTATCACCCACCCCTCATTCTTCAGTGTCCTGAGCCTCTTCTAGTCTGCCTTTGGCCCAGTACTGAGAGAGGAGAAGGCTCCCCAAGGATTTTTGGGGGGAGGGGCTATACTGGCTTCCTGTCACCAGAACACAGTTTCCCACTGCAGAGTCAGAGCATTCACACAGCTTGTGTGAGCACACTAAGCCCCCCCCCGACACACACACACACACACACACACACACACACACACACACACACACACACACACACACACAGACTTCCTCAGGGAGCTCTTGAAAATCATGCATACTTTTCACAGGATAGAGGTTGTGTCCAGAGCAGCAGGAGGTCTTCAGGGTCAGGGTCAGCAGGCAAGGAGGAGAAGTGGCATGCATTTATAATAGTGACTTTAAATGCATGGGTTAGATTGTGGAGGTGAAATTTTCCCATTGTGGCGACTAATAAGGGTCACTTAATAATAATAATAATAATAATAATAATAATAATAATAATAAATTAGACTTCAAGAGATATTTGATTTGAAGCAGCATTTTCAACTAAAGGTTGAAACACAAATGTATCCCTCATCCCATCATGTTTTCATATCAGATCATGTCTGTATATTTCAGCCCATGGATTCCTCCATACTAAATAATTTTAGACCAATTTCTGATCTTCCTTTTTTAAGTCAAGTCTTACAAAAAGCTACTTTCAAACAGTTGAATGCGTATCAAATATCAAACAAGTTATAGGAGAAGTTTCAATCAGGCTTTTGTTCTAACCACAGTACTCAGTATTGAGTTCCTTTATCATTGTGGAACTGGGTTGAAAGTGACTTTGTGGAGATTATTCAGGAAACTTTAAGGCTTTGGCTCTGACAGAGTTTTCCGTCAGACCTTTGTGGTGGGCGTATCTTTGATCACTCGAATTAAGGGAAGTCATGATAGCTAGTTAACCATCCAACCTTCTCGTGAGCTCCTGAGCACAGCATTAGTAACAGAACTGAAAACCCCACTAACTCAAAATGTAGTTATAACTGAAGTTTGGGGGGAGGAGCATGGCTGAAACCCCTCCTTCTTACAATCTAATGGCCTATAAATTCACATCCTCACCTTCCGTACTTGTGACGAAGGGTTCGCAATCCCCACTACAGATATGAGGGGGGTCTGGCCTTCTGGCTACAGGCAGAAGCTGCACAGAACTCCAGCCCAAGTTCTCAGAGTTCTCCCCCTCCCTCAATCAGCCTTCCCCCATAGTACCACCACCATGTTGACGGCACAGTCTGAACTCACAAAATACTCTTAACATAAGCTTCTGTTGACGCAAAGCACATTTCTATAGGCTTCAGTTATAGATGTATAGCACATTTTGGTTCAGTGAGGCTTTCAGCTCTTTTTCTCTGTGGAAATCATCTGTGCAGTGTGGCAAATATAAAATGTTGAAAATCACTTCAAAGAACCCTTTAGAGCCTCTTAAATTTAGGAGTGATCATTTAGTGATCATTGGGGGCGGTCATGGGCTGGAGGTTAGGGACCCAACCTTGCGACTGGAAGGTCGCCGGCAGGACGTGACTGAGGTGCCCTTGAGCAAGGCACCTAACCCCCAACTGCTCCCCGGGCGCTGCGCATAGGGCTGCCCACCGCTCAGGGCAAGTGTGCTCACTGCCCCCTAGTGTGTCTTCACTTGTGTGTATGTGGTGTTTCACTGCATGGATGGGTTAGATTGTGAAGGTGAAATTGCCCCATTGTGGGACTAATAAGAGTCTCTTAATCTTAGTATAACAGGTTAATAAGGAAGTGTAAGATGAATAAAATCTGAAAATGTTATTGTAATGCAGTACATGACATCTTTGCTTTATTTAAATGTTCTGATCTGATACTTGTGGTCTTGCTGTTGGCCTTGGTGAATAAAACACTCCAGACCTCTAGAATTCATGATTGGCTCTGAGAAATGACACCATGAAAGTATGAGTCACATCCCTAATCTGGGCAAAAGGCAGGGGGAGGGGGTGTAAGCAGCCCAGCAGCCAGGGCGGAAACAATTCTGTATTGAGCCTCTGCTCAGGGGACCGTGGGAACAGCAGTGGACTGAAGCAGGTGGTGAGAGAAAAGAAAAAAGTTATGAATGTTCAGAAATTCATTTAAATTAAAAGTGAATTTTTCATGAAACATATTTCAATATATCCAGTTTGCCTTTCCAAGATTTATTGTGAATGTGTTCTTAATGTATTCTGAATACGTTACTTTTCTTATGTACTGTAATGGAACACATTACTGAATACATGTAGGACGGTGTATTCAGTGTTCAGACATCACTACTTTTAAAGTACTCTGCCCACCCTGAACACATGAATGAGGTTCATTGTGCAGCACATCCTATTCTGTTCAGGGAATCTCTCTCCACTCACTGTTACAGAAGTCAGTGTCGTTAGGAAGAACATAAAAGACGAATGTACTCACAGAGCACTGCTAGCATCCGAGGAGCAGCACCAGTCTTCAAGTTCATGATGAGGAGGCTGAGGAAGCTCGTCCAGATGCTGGCCCTGACACTGGTCAAACGTGGCTTTCTTGCTCAGTCATAACATGAAATTATGAAAAAGTAATCAATTTAAGGTGAAAACAGCAGCAGAAACAGAATAAACTCCACACTTTCAGGCTGTAAAACTCACCACAGCAGCGTCCACACCTGAGCACAAACTCAAACTCAGCCGCTACAGCTTAAAATACCCTCTGCGCGGAATGATACATCGGCACGAGTCTCTTCGTAGAGATGGACTCCTATAAAAACATCGGCACCAGGCGCTTTTACAGACTAATATTTGTGCTGAATACCGTAGAGCATTTATACGGAGCCCCGCTGGTGACATCTTGTATAATTAAAAATAATGCGTGACCACGCCTTATTAATGCATGGGAACGAGATCCTAATGTGTGGCCACAACTTAGTATGGCGCGGCTTACTAAGTCGTGGCCACGCATTAGGATCTCGTTCCCACGCTTTACTAAGTCGTGGCCACGCATTAGGATCTCGTTCCCACGCTTTACTAAGTCGTGGCCATGCATTATTTTTATTTATATAGGATGTCACCAGTGGGGCTCCGTACATTTATATTATTTGATGCTGTGAAAATAAAAAACAATAACGTTGCCAAAGCAAAATGTACAGGGTCTATTTTTCTATGAGGAGGCATCCATTCCTTGGAGGCACTGCTTCTAGTGCGGCTCTTTAGCCAGCCGTTCTTCTTCTTGAGGGAATTAATAAATATTCATAAATCTCTAGACGGGATTGGTCGAACCAAGGCGAGCCTCCCCACTTTTTTTTCGCATGATTCTACCGGGATAGGCTACAGCTTGAATATTCATAAAGCGTTTATTAGAATCAGGCGTCTGATTGGTCCAACCAAGTCGAGCCCCTCCAACTCACACGTGCGTGATTTTCTCCACTGGAAGGACGGAGGATGTCTGAAAAGTGAGTGACTACAAATAGAATCGGCGTCGAGGTCCAAGATGTAGTTTTCCTGGCATTTATTCATTCGTTCATTTTTAACACTGTGATTCTCTTTCATGAGTTCATGTTTTCCCACTATCTGCTGTATTTTTAAGCAGGTTTTTCTCAGCTGATTTAACCTATTAACCACTTAAACTCTTCCCCACTTAATTATGGAGAAATTTTGAAAAAGAAAGATGGTGGAATTCCCCTTCAAGGCTGTCAAAACAATATACCGTCAAAACACACATTTGGAGTTGATCCCTATCAGCTGGTGTTCTTTTCATACAGGAATGGGTTTACAAGACATCCCAGACAGCAACATGTTCGGGCCGGATTACCTTGGCCGTCACAAAATCCTCCTGGCTGTCGCATCTGTACTGCGGACTTGTGCCACATTTGGGCCAAGTAACTGTTAACAGCGTTTACAGCACTGGACACTCCTTAATGACCTCCTGATTCAGAGGGTCCAGTGAGATTCGGGGGAAAATGTACACGGGACAAAATGTTTCACCTTTGGTTTACAACAGGGCCTGATATCAGCAATTTTAAAAAACAGAATTCATTTTTACCAAAACCGCCTTAGACCCGGAGTTCCTAATATGGGCATGACGCCAACTACATAACCCTTCTGGCTTGCGTTCACACATTCCTGTTTAATGGTCATTAAATTCCTGTGAAAGGCATGCATGAAACAGACTTGTGCCACTCAAACTCTTTAAGTGGCACAGACTTCCACATTAGCTTCGTAGCTTCAACGCAAAACTAAAGCAAATTTCAGACAATTTCAGTGAATGCGCCGTGCCCAAGGACTTAAAATGGTCAAAGGGAACATGAATTTGAGAGGGAACTGAATCGGATACAACATTGGCAGCATTTTTGTCTTTTACAGTTTATTTTTAGTTTTCTTACCTATTTTTGGAAGGTGGACAAGTGTGTGGAGGACTTCGATGAGGCCTGTTTCCAAAATGTCGTAGAGCCAAATCGATTTGAACCAGAACACACAAATGACTTGCAGTGGCTTGAAGAAAAGGGAGCAAACATGTGAGAGAGAGAGAGAGAGAGAGAGAGAGAGGCTGAACCCACTGGCGCTGAAGCAGAAGAAACAGGGTGAATGGAAATTGACGGTGTCAACAACAAACTACTTGCTACTCTGCTCTCCAGTTTATGGGGCAGGACGGCGAGGAGCAACTGTGATCTATCACAGCTCCTCTGATGAATAACGTTACTCACATAAGCTCTGAGTTTTGTTGACACCGTGTGACACAACACCACCAACTCAAACAACACGAAAGGGCGGAAAGGTACATGCAGGGCGTTGTAAGGAAAAATAGTCCCCAAAGAAAACACATTTTTTTGAATTTAGCCCTATTTTACCATCATCAGCACGACATGTAAAACCTTACAAGACACATGGAAGTTCACTGGTCATTTCGGATGGCATTTTGGATAAACGGATGTATTTGCAGTGTAGACATACGGACGTCTGGTTCCCAGTACTATAATAGCTACGTTCACATTACAAGCCTCGTTGCTCAAATCCGATTTTTTGCTCAAATCTGATCTCTCTGACACGATGGTTCACACTCGTTTAGGTGATTCAAATCTGTCATTAATGTGAACGAAGCGGCGTCCTGAAATGACCCTCATGCACACATCCTACTCAGCAATTTCACGTGAATGAATCACGTCGATCATCAGCAAACAGACTAACGAGCAGAACGAGCTTCACTGAGAGGATAATTAACACTGATCAGCTCTCAGCTTCATTATTAGAGCAAGACGAAGGAGAAAAAGGTGAGATGTGTTTCTTTTTCACCGTTTACAGGCTTTAACTTCTGCTCGGCGCTGCTGCCATGAATCGAATACGTATCTGATGTAGGACCAGCAAGTGACTCAGGTCGGATTTGAAAAGATCAGATTTGTGTGTCCACACAGCCCTAAAAACATCAGATGTGAACGTAGCCAATGGTGAACAATTGTGACTCTGTAAATTTCTCTAGACAGGCGCATTTCACACCAAACCACTCTGAATGATTTTGTTTCCATCTAAACGGTTGAATGATTAAGGAATTTTGCAAAATCATCAAAACATGGTTTTGGAGAATACACTACTATGCAGACATGACCCTGGCGTTCCTGAATTGCACGTTTATAATTAATTTCAAAGCCTATTATGGAATTACATTTTAATTATATTATAATAGAGTATAATATTTGTGAAGTAACAGCTGAAAATGTTTTAGCACCCCATGAAATGAAGTATAACATTTAAAAATAAAACATTCTTTATTAAAATGAACACACAAAACACAAACGTTCAGTAGTACAGATTATGTACAAAATCTTTTTAAGCTTATGCTGGGAAGGAAATGCCTGCATATGTACAAGAGACAACTGGTGTTTGTAGCCAGTTTTGCATAGTATAGTAGTTCAGTATGGCAGCTGAAGACCACATACAGTATTAACCCTATCAAAACCAGCTGCCCTGCAGACGGGATTAAAATTCCATGTTGTTTTTTGAGCAGCGTTGCGTCTTTGGCAGTTATAAGCATTAAACAACAACAACCAGTGTAGTAACAACATAAACTGCACAGTAACAAGCAGCCGACTGGATGTCAGCCAATTACAGCATCTTTATACTGTTTTTGCCAACTGTTTAATTTTCCTCTTGTTCCTCCTTAAAATTGTACAAATATTAATATAACAAAATAATTGGATTTTTACAGCCTTTTTAAACAGCATGTAACTGCCAGCAGTTCCAGACTTGCATGCCTTATCCTAGAGGTCTGCACTCTCACAGATTCCCGTAAGACCCACCACAGTATCTTGCGGCGTGGGACTAATGTTCAGTGTTGCACGCGGGAGCGGGCGGGAAACCAGCCCACTGCAGGCGAGAGCAGGCCGAAGCACACATGAAGAGAAATCTTGCAAATGAATGACCAGCCTAAATAAAGTAGAATGAGCACTACTTCATATATACAAACAATATAAAAGAACAACAGTAAAACAGTTCAAATGAATGAAGTCTCCCTAAAGAGTTGCGAAGCAGGCGATCACGTGAACAACATGCAAATTCTCGTAGCTTACAGAGATGACCGAGCCTTCAGTCTGACGACCACGGCTGCCCAGCTAAGCACCAAAAAGAACCGCTCTGTGGTTTAATTCATGCTTTGTGTTTACTAAATCTGAAAATTCTTCCTCTTGCATGGCATGAAGTTCGAATTTTGTTATGTTTAGCTTACTGGCCGGTTGCAAAGCAGAAATCTGCTTACTGCCCGACTCATTAAGATCTGGTGTTTTCCCATTAAATGCATTGAACAAATTATTGACAAAATCTGATTTTCTGTAGGTATCGGATTATTAAGTGCATGGAAACACACTCAGTGATAACATGATTATCTCTGTTGTCGGAACAAAACCTCATATCTCCAAAATGGTGACTTTACAGGAGAAGGAAAAAACCTACTTTACTTTAAATGTAAGTCAATGGAACCAGACTTTTTTCAAAGTCATTTGAGGTCATTTCTTTTAGTCCATTTACCATGAAATTTACAAACAATGTAAAGGGTAAAAGGTATTTTATGTCAAAAACGTCAAAAATTGAGATACGAGGTTTTGTTCCGACAACAGTGATACGTAGAACACAACATGGAATTTCCTCCTCTTGCTGGCAGCATGGCTGATCTGAGGCAGTTATACTGGCCCTGAGAGAGAGAGGGAGAGAGAGAGAGAGAGAGATGGAGATAGAAGGGGGAAATGAAGAAAGAATATGGGAGGGCCAGTTGTTAAATGAATACTGGCCTTTGATACAGCATTGTGATCAGCTTGTCTGCTAAAGTCTCTGACCTTTCAAGTCCATTTCAGTCCCCATGAGAGTAAAAATAATCAAAGTTATGTAAATTAATGCCTTTCCCTTCCTCTTCCGCTACAGGCACAAAGTGATGCTGGCTTTGCTGACGAGGAGCCATGAGGGGCTGATGGAGGGGGGCTGGGGGAGGCGACGAGCACGAGCAGGGAGGAGAGTAACGCTGCTTGTCCATTTTAGACATGAACCGCAATCTGTGCCTGAGGGGAAAGAAACAGACACACAGGAGCCATAAGTGGAGGCCAAACTTGGTAAAAAATTCAGGTAACAGTCAGAAACAACATAAACAGATCTATTTGACATAACTTGAAAGGGAATTCCACACATTTTTCAAAATGTCTGTATAATTAAATGTTTAAGATGTAAACAAAGTCATTCAGAGTGGTTTGATAGGAAATCCTCACTTACCAGCTTCAAAAATCGTGTTTACAGTGTTTGATGCCTCTAAATGCTCCCTCACAGGGAGTTTTACATAAAACAGTCCCAAATACATCGCCTAAGTCCAGAGGCTTGGTTGTACAATAACTATGAGATAATATAGATAATATATTGGTCTAAAATGTATTTTTAAACACATTCATGGTGGAGGGGTACATGCAGGGCTGTGAGGCAAAAATGTACCCCAAGAAAACATATTTTACCACTATTTTACCATCATCAACATTACTAACCTCTAACAGCTCACAAGGCGCGTGTAAGTTCAGTTTTGGATAGTAAATAAAATGGCTATATTGGTGCTGTAGACACTGTGACCCCTGGTTCCATTCATCACCACTGTAACATACAATTTCACATCAAACCACTTTGTTTAGGTCTCAACCACTGAATCAAGCAGATATTTAGACAAATCAGTGGAATTCCTGATATGGTTTGAGCCCAGTGATGATTTAGGCCTGCAGTTCACATAATGCTGACTGGTACATTAGCCTCATAGCTCAAAAAAGAAAACTTCAGACAGAAATCGTCTTGGCTGATTGATTATGTTTGGAGTAACGGGAACTGCTGAACTGAATTTCCTCTGATTTTTCCAAATTTCTACATCATATGAATAAGATGTAAACCGAGACGTCTCTCTGAAGACTCATGTAGGTTCACTGCGGGTCTTAGATAGTAAATACAATGGCTATATTTGCACTGCAGATATTGTGACCCCTGGTTCCATTCAAAGTAAGTTTCTCTACAATGAACTGTTTCCACTCTAAATGACTTTGTTCAAGTATCGACCACTGAATTAAATCTGGTTGACTTCCCCTTTAAGGATGCAATGAGAGCGGAACTGAACTAAAGAATAATAAGGGGGGTCAGTACCTGAGAAAGTAGGCAAAGAGCATGATGATGGTGACGAGGAGACACAGCCCAAACGCCCACAGCACATACACCCACGTTACATCAATGCCATCAGCTGCCTCTGTTAAAGCAGAGAGAGAGAGAGAGAGAGAGAGAGAGAGAGAGTTAGAGAGGGTGGAGGAAGGACGAGTATCAGTGTCCAGTCTTGTTTGCTTTTCCAGCCACATTCAAACTGCACTGCACTGCTGAAGGACTGTTTTTTCTGCTACAGAGGAATCTCTGCACGTAAAGGAAAAGGACACAACTGAACGTCCGTGACCTTCGACTCCTCAGACATCACTGCATTAAAACCGCCAAGCTTCTGTGGTGGACATCACCACATGGCCTCAGGAATACTTTGACAATCAACTGTCAATAAACACGGTTCGCCGCTGCATTCACAACTTCTAAGACTGTACTACGCACAGTGGAAGTCACATGTCAGCAACGTCCAGAAACACTGCCAACGTTTCTGGACTCAAGCTCTCCTGAAATGGACTGATTCAGAGTCAAAGCCTTTATTGTAACATTCTGCAGGTGTTACAACAGCATGGCTGAGTAATCAGAGTGTGCGGGTGCTGGACTGGCCTGCCTGTCTTTTATTGACAACGTGTGGCGCATTATGAAGTCCAAAACACAACAACAAAGACCCCACATGGCTGCAGAGCTGAAGACATGTTTAACTGAAGAACTGAAAAAAAACTGGTGTCTTCAGTCCCCAGATGTTGCTTAAGTGCTGTTAAAAGGAAAGGTGGTGTTACCCAATGGTAACAATGTTCTTGTCCCATATTTCGAATGAGCGTATATTCATAATCAATAATAAAGTGCATGAGGCAAAGCATCAAATATCATACTAACACTGTACTGTTTAATTCAATACAGGTCAAGCAGAATTGACCAATCACTGCTTTCTGTTTTTATTTTTGCTTTCTGCATTTATTTCACATACTGTCCTCACCTTCCTGTTCTTCATTTTATCGTTCTAAACTGTAATATGGATAACGTACATTTTTAGTAGTAAATCTGCTCATTTTTTTGTGTTTAATTTTGTTTAATGTCATTTTTTAACACATGGTATGATACTTATATATATTATTTATTTATAAAATAAATATTATTCATTTTAAAAAAAAGTACATTGGTTAACTGGCTGACTTGGAATTAGCGATCAGTATCAGCTCTAAAAATCCTGATCCTAAAAGATCCTGATTTACAAACTTACCCTCTTTTGAATCAACCTCAGATCCAGATCCTTCAGGAAACGTCCAGAAGGGTTCCTAAGAAAACAGGCAAGTTAGTGAGATCAGAGAAAAGATACAGACAAGAGGCAGGACATTTACATATACATATTACTGCCCACTGCATTTATCAGCAACCTCACTTTATATGAACAAAAGGTAGCTGTTATTATTAAGTGCTGTCAAGTTAGTTTCAACAATATGGACAGACCTGCTCCAGAATGTCTTTGGAAGTCACTGTGCTGTACAGCTAGCTGAGGAAATATTTAATATATGTCATATAATATATTTTCATACTTTACATCTGTTTTATTCTTTTGTTTTGATTGTATTCTTTTCAATGGTGCTGCCATGTTTTAACATGACAAAGAAATGTAAGTTCTGGCCACTAGAGGGCGTCCACACTCTATGTCTGAAATGTCCTGGAACTTCAGTCAGTGAGAGAGTGTGTTATACAAAGTAGGCCAATTTTGGCCGTGTTCTCTCTCATCACACACACACACACACACACACACACACACACACACACACACATATATACAGTGTGTCCCAAAAAAATTGACATCATTTCATAGTCTAATAACAGCCAATTCTCCCTCAAATGATCTCAAATTTTAAAATGTGTAAAAACTAACCAAGTTTAATTTTTAATGTTTTTTCAGGTTGAAGAATGGCGTTCACTAGAAATGATAAGGCATTCTGAGTGTTAGAATATGCTCAAACGCAGTCAAACAAGAGTGTGCAGCGAGCATTTTTGAGAAAATTCAATAAAAATGCACCAACTGGAAAGCAGATTTGGACATGGCACAAAAACTTCAAAGAGGAAGGCTGTCTCTGCAGGGCAAAGGGATCTGGACGACCACCAGTATCAGAAGATATTACATTTGTGAAGCTGTGAAATCGGTTATAAAATCTACATCCCTCTGAATTTCTTTTTCGAATTTTGATAAATAAATCTTGTGTTGTTCAACATGAAGCCTCTTTAATTTCGTTTGCCCAGGACATGTAGTTACTCAGATACTGACATCTCAAATGATGTCAATTTTTTGGGACACCTATATATATATATATATATAGGTTGTCACAGGAAAACCTCATATCTCCAAAATGGTAACTGTACAGGAGAAGGAAAAAACATACTTTACTTTTATTTTCAAATTATATCAAAACCTGAAAAACATCAAAAACGGAGATATAAGGTTTTTGTCCGACAACAGCAATATATATATATATATATATATATATATATATTTACACAGTGCAGTGCAAAATTTCAAACATTAATAAGCAGTAAAATCACTAATATTACAATCAATACTAATAGCATTAAACATGAAGTAGTTACTTTACGTATGTCAACATCTGTGTTGAACCATTTCCAAACCTTTCCACAAGGAAGCCCAGTATTATCTGTGGTTATTATCCAACACTTAGTCTGGCTCATCAGTGCTTTATGTTAAATCAGGTGAGCTGGAGATTGAACAAAATCCATTGGATGGCCAGAAGCACTAAAGAGGAATAAGGAACTAGGGGTGGGCGATATCGCAAAAATACAACATCATGATTTCAAAAAACACGATATTCTGAGTTTTTCTGAGGATTGATAAGTTGGCACAGAGAAAAAAGAACCAGGAGTGCCAAACACTATCAATACGCCATTAATACAATGATTTTTATTCACTGTTTCACATTCCGTACTGCACTAAACCCAAATAAATTATGCTCTGTTTCTAATTAAACATAGTTGGTCAGTCCTCATTAAGTCCATATCCATAATATGCTCAAAAACCCCTTTTGTGAAACAGCCTTTACCAGGCAGATCAGATTTTTATTTAAACAGTTTTTTATCAGGAGAATATTTCTCTCATATTTTGACCATGAGGTCAAGCTGATATGAAACAATAGCATTTCTTCATGGCCTTTATTGATCATTACTGCCACTCTACTTTCACCATCCGCTTTATCAAAAAACACCAACCTTGTACTTCCACTCGGACCACTTTATGAGCTCCACCTATTTTATAGATCCACTATATAGGTGTAGAATTACTGACTGTAGCCCTTCGATTGCTGCACTTCGCAAACTGTGCATCGATACATGAGCTACAGTCTCTAACTGAGCACCAGCAAGGTGGAGCTACATGAGGAGTTTCTAATAGAGTCTAAAAACTGAAAGGCAGAACTTACCAGAGTAGCATCGATGTCAGAAACAACGGTGGGCTTGGGAGCTACAAAGACAGATAGACAGACATGTTTATTCTTCTTTTTGTGATTACTCAAAGTTATGTGTGGTCAGTATGTCTGTGTGTGTGCGTCCTGTTAAACAGCCAGGATTTTGGATTAATTTGCTTAAGGCTTCCTCACAGTTGATGAAATTATAAGAGATATATCATTTTGGACTTTTGTAGCTCAGAAAGTTCTTATTAGATATATGTACTCGCATATTACATATAAATAAACATGTATACTACAAACCCAATCCCAAAAAAGATGGGACAGCATGTGAAATGCTAATATGAACAGAATCATCATCATCATCTTAAACTGCTTAATCCAGATAGGGTTGCGGTTAAACAGAACCAGCGATTTATAAACCTATTTTGACCTGTAATTTAACAAACACTGGATTTATGTGTACAAGACATGTAATGTTTAATCTCATCAGTTATTAAGAAATTCTGTTTGATCTGTATTAAAATGAAAACATTACAAAAACACAATATTTTATGTTTTACCGTATGAACTTCATTGTTTTTTCGGAAACATTTGCTAATTCCAAATCTGATGCCTGCAACACGTTCCAAAAGCACGTTTACCACCTTGTTACATCACCTTTCCTTTCGCCTGTGCAGCTGTGGGGGTCCTTCACTGTTGTGTTTTGCACACGGTTTCAGTGGGAAACAGGTCTTGGCTGCAGGAAGGCCAGTCTAGCACCTGCACTCTCAGATGTCGCAGCCATGCTGTTGTAATGCGTACAGAACTTGGCTTGATGTTGTTATGCTGAAATAAGCATGAGCGTCTCTGAAAAAGACGGGGTCTAGAAGGCAGCATATGTTGCTCCAAAACATGTTTAGTGTTAATGGCCTATGGTAACGCCTGTACAGATATCCAAGTTAGCCACTAATATTCCCCGATACCATGACAGACCCTGGATTTTGAACTTTTTCTTATTGGACCAGAGAACACAGTGTCCATTATTTCCATAAACAATCTGAAGGGGTGACTCGTCAGACCACAATACACTTTTCCACTGTCTATTTCAGATGAGCTTGCACCCAGAAAAGTCAGCAACATTTCTGGATGCTGTAAACATAAACAGAATGTGCATAGTACAGTCTTAACCTGCATTTGTAGATCCAGCGACGAACAGTTCTTATTGACAATGGTCTGTCAAAGTATTCTCAAGCTCATATGGTGACCTCCAATACAGAAGCCTGCTGGTTTTTAAAGCAGTCCTGTCTGCGGAGTTGAAGATTATGGGCATTCAGTTGAGGTTTTTGGCCTTTTTTCTGATTTCTCTGAGTCTCTGAATGTTTTTCTATTATTATGCACTGTAGAGGGTGAAACACCTGAATCCTTGCAATCACTCGCTGAGGAACCTTATTTTTAAACTGCTGGATTATTTGCTAATGCAGTTTTTGGCAAAGTGGTGAGGCTCGATCCAACCTCATTCATTGAGAACTTTCCTGGGCAGCAACATGTGTCTCTTTTACTGCCCTGTTGCAGCTCCACAGCAGAATTAGATTCTTAGGTAAACATAAAATAATCCTCTTCTGCAGGAAAATAAAGCTCTGTTGATCGTTCTAACAAGTTTAAAAAACTCTACATTAAGGTAGAACAGCTAATTCACCAGCCTTTAACCCTGAAGATCGGTACTGCTGGTCACATAGCAACGCAGATAAAAATCTTGCCTAGCTAGTAGCTAACGAAAAAGTAAAGAGAGATTTAAGAGGAACATTAATAATTTAAGACGAATGGACACTGTTTGCATTTATAATCACTCCAGCTGGTTTCCTGATACGTTTAATCTGCAATGCGAAACTGAAACACTAAAAGAAGTCGCAAAGCTGAAGTCAGTTTCTCATTCGCCAGCTTCTTGTTCGAATTTTCCCGTTCCACCTTAAATGGTGCTGCAGTTACATTCTGGCGCTTCAGGGACCATTTAAGGTGGAACTGGAAAATTCGAACAAGGACTTCAGCCTTGTAAGAAATCAAACGTTGAGAGACATTTTTGCGGAAAGGTTTCCTGCCGGAGATGTGAGAAAAGCAACTATAGCTGAGCTAAAGCTTAAAGCAGAGCAAAGTAAGTCTGCGTTTTCATTTGTATTATATTTTTTAGCCTGTATTGGTACACTAGCACACACTGACATATATTTACAGCCAAAATGTTGTGGCTCCCAAGGTGGCTTGATTTTTGTGGAAAGGACAGAATGGCTATTCTTGACATTTGGGTTGCCGACCCCTGGGCTAGCACGATTGTAATTGAGGCTTATAGTAGAAAAAACAGTCCTTCAATGATGCAATGCAGTGTGAATGATTTGCATCACCTGTTTAGGACATTTTGTGAACAATTCGCAACCTTCTTAGTCATTTCCTTTCCTCCAACTTTTTTGGAATGTGTTGCAGGTATCAGTTTCAGAAAGAGCGGATATTTACGAAATGAAGTTGGTAAGTTAAAACATTACTTATTTTGTCTTTGTACAAACTTGTTTTTGTTCAAACAGAGGTCATAAACTTATAAATCACTGCTTTCTATATATATATAATATAATATAAATACATATGGGAGGTATGTATTTGTGTATTTTACCTGTCCAGGTGTGTCCATACACAGGATGGGTCCATTCACTCCAGACACCATCAAATTCATCTTTGGCTCGAAGCTGCACTTCATACTGAATGTGTGGCAGAGCATCCATAATCCACCACGCAAGCTCCTCATGCTCAACGTCTATCTCCACATACTGGTACTACAAACACACACACACATACACTGAAACCTAGCATATTCATGTGATAATAATGTGATATGCGATATTAATTCACATAAACTAAAATTCATGTAATGGCATTAAACAGAAACACTCAAGTCAATAAACAATAAAAATGTATACAATATAGATTATATTAAACATAGATTACATTAACTTTTATAACATAGACACCAAATATATTTTACAGCAAAGAGTTACTAAATGATATTCTAAATAATTATGTATATCCAATCATTTTTTGTTATTTGCCTCAAGATCACCTTTGTTATATGAGACAGGCTGAATATAACTTTTATTAGTACTTTCTCTGGATATCTGGATATTAATTGTATTAGAACTTAATTCAATAGCTTGGTCAGTCATTTCAGAATCATCTACAGCTTCCAAACTTCTGAAAATATACTGCAAATGTTTTTTTAATACACTTGTTGTTTGTTGTTGTACATTTTCCCAACAAATCTTACATCTTTGGCCAGTGAAGGCCGATATCTGAGCTGGAACTGGAGAGAGTAATAGCCCCGTTTCCAGGTGGCAGGATATGACCATAAAATGCCCAGAGTGTGAGGCCGACCTTCGGCAGATTTCACCACCACTTTGGCAGGAGGGTCTGGTTTGACTACGGAGAAGGAAAGAGAGAGAGAGGGATTTCACATAGAACCAATGAACTGCTTTATCCAACCACAATGAAACATGGAGGACTGGTCTTCATAAACTAGGACACTTGTGCAGCTGACAAAAGCAACACTATTCCACACACACTAAAATTCAAACCTTGACATTAATACAGAAACACAGAAGCCTAGTTCAGACTCTTCATCTGCATACATGTATATAAATATACAAATACACACATATACACTGTGTGTGGTGCTTGAAAGTTTGTGAACCCTTTAGAATTTTCTATATTTCTGCATAATTTTCACCTAAATCTTCATCAGATTTTCACACCAGTCCTTACACTAAATAAAGACAACTACAAACGTACCAAACATAACAATATATAACAAACAAATATACACCGATCAGGCATAACATTATGACCACCTGGAGTTTTGAAACACCTCAGTGTCAGTGCTGGACTGAGAATAGTCCACCAACCAAAACTATCCAGCCAACAGCGTCCTGTGACCACTGATGAAGGACTAGAGGATGACCAACACAAACTGTGCAGCAGCAGATGAGCTATCGTCTCTGACTTTACATCTACAAGGTGGACCAACAAGGTAGGAGCGTCTAATAGAGTGGACAGTGAGTGGACACAGTGTTTAAAAAGTCCAGCAGCACTGCTGTGTCTGATCCACTCAGACCAGCACAACACACACTAACACACCACCACGTCAGTGCTACTACAGTGCTGAGAATGATCCACCACCCAAATAGTACCTGCTCTGAGGGTCCATGGGGGTCCTGACCACTGAAGAACAGGGTAAAAGGGGGCTAACAAAGTATCAGAGAAACAGATGGACTACAGTCTGTAACTGTAGAACTACAGAGTGCTCCTATACAGTAAGTGGAGCTGATAAAATGGACAATGAGTGTAGAAACAAGGAGGTGGTCATAATGTTATGCCTGATCGGTGTGTATAGTGAGTGATGTGGTCTATCACAGACTGTGATGCACCGAAACAAAAACCTTTGGATGAAACTGAAATTCAGCCACACTGGGCCAAAAACTGAAAAAGAAAACTGGGACAGGCACAGAGGGGCATTTACAATTTTGCATAATCATGCATATTCATAAATGTTTGCATATGTTAAGGCATAGGACATTTCGTATGTCGTTTTTAATGGTTTCCTGGGTTTAACATAAAAAATAATACATAAAACTACTTTATAAATTATTATTCGACACAGATCACTGTTCATGGTTAAAAATATTAAAAGTACTTAACCTACAAAAGAAAATCACAGACTCTCAGGCTACACATGACGGACCCCACTTTGAGAACCACTGTTCATCACTGTTTTTGTAGATAACACTGCGTCAGCGTTAGAAACAATATAAGTAAGGCTATTAGTGATTACTGAACACCTACATACAGTTTAAAGGAAGTTTAAAGAAAGTGTGTGATGTGATTTAGGCCTGCAGTTTTCATGAGGCTAATTGGTGGGCTATAAGCTTCCATTCATTAGCCTTGTAGCTCCAGTGCAAAACTAAAGAAGCAAACTTCAGGTAACACATCTTGGCTGATCAACTACATTTGGGTTAAAGGCGGAATCTTTTCTTGCACTCACTGATGTTCTGTAGTGTGAAAGGGTGGGGTTGACTGGTGGCGTTGCCCGCTGTGTTGGTCACACACAGTTTGGCTATGTAGGTGTCTTTGTCGCCCTCGTCAGTGGACAGAGCGCACCAACAACGAGATCGCTCAGCAGAGTATGAGCAATGAACACGAGAGAAATCTTGCAACCTACAGAGACAGAGAGAGAGAGAGAGAGAGAGAAAAAAGTGTGAATTATGAAAGTTAAAAAAATTGTGATTTATTAAAGCCAAACAACTTAAAGAGTGACTTAAAGTTAAAGTGTTATTTATTAAAGTGTTATAAAATAAAATGTGATTTATTCAAGTTTCAAAAAAATTAAACATGACTTACTAAAGTTATAGATCTACCAAACTACACCAAGAGCAAAATTACCCTACAAGCTTCTGACTAGAATCATGAGCTTCTTCGTCTTCTTTGGTTTAAGCTGGCTTTTCTGAGGCGTTATTATGTTACAATGGATCATATATCACAATATGTCATCGCAGATTTTAATAACTGCAACAGATCTGTACTGTGGCTGAAGAACCTGAAGTCACTCTCACCCCTATCAATTACTCCCCCAGCAGTGATTAGTTTCATGTTTAACTGCATGTTTTTGTGCTCGCTACCTGCTCTGTGTACATCGACCACCAAAAGCTCCAACAGATTTTCCGGGGTCAACTGTTGACACGGGGGTCTGTGGTCACCAGCCTCTGCTCTCTGACTTTTTTGCTCCTATTTGTTTACGTTCCCAATAGAATCGTGCTAACTTATAACTGTGCAGCAATACGTTTTCATATGCACAAGTTTGAACACCCTTGGTCAGATTACACGGTTTGTTGGTTTTCTATGTGAGAATAAGTTAACATGGAATTTCACAGGGAAAAACCTAAATATGACACTTTTCTGCAAATTAATTTGAATACTGGGGGGAAAAAACAGACATTTGCCAGCTTCATGTTTGTTACATTTACAGCATTTGGCAGACGCTCTTATCCAGAGCGACTTACAATTTGATCATTTTTACACAGGTAGGCCAAGGCAGTGTTAGGAGTCTTGCCCAAGGACTCTTATTGGTACAGTGTAGGGTGCTTACCCAGGTGGGGACTGAACCCCAGTCTACAGCATAGAAAGCAGAGGTGTTACCCACTACACTATACTAACCTACCCCAAATGTTACCCAAATCTCCTTGTAGAGGATATGTACTTATTTTCACTTAGAAAATCAAGCAGAATTTTTGCAACTTTTGCATGTGACTGTGACACATGTGACAAGAAAAGTAGCCTCGATAACCATGAGAGGCAAACTTGAGGCCATATTAGTGCAGCGTTAGTCTTTCCGCTTGGTGACGGATTAAGAAATTTTACATCAGTGTTAGATCATTTATTTCTTAAGCCCAATTGGATGGGAACAGTTCTATATGAGAAGATTCTCAGTGAAAAGTTTCTCAGTGATTTCAGTCCCGTCCAAATGCACCATGTCCGTCATTTTTACGGACTGCGCGCAGCCGCAACAGCGAAGATTCCGCCGTCTTTTACTTTCTCAAGCAGTAGAAATAACCTCAGGTGATGTTAATCCTGTGCAAATCGACATGCTGGTAAAAACGCTCTTATATCTTGTGGAAGGAGTTTCTTAAGTACAGATGCACTCATGTTCTCTGTGGCTACAATCAAGCTGATATGTACTGTCTTACTGTGAATGTACAATGCAGAACATTTCAAATTCCAAAAATACAAAGCATGTAAAATTACAAAAACAGTCTGATTTTTGCAGTGATGTTGGCTGTAAATTCTCAAGCTAATAACAGCAAGACAGCTGGTTTTAATGTGATTTCTCCCCTTTTTTCTAGAGTAAAAGTGCTGTGAAAATCAAGAAGCAACTCCTATTTGGGTCATTTATACTGAGACTTCTACCTATCAAACATCCTGTGTCCACTCACTGTCCACTCTATTAGACACTCCTACCTTGTCAGTCCACCTTGTAGATATAAAGTCAGAGACAGTAGCTGTAAAATCTGTTTGTGTTGGTCATCCTCTAGTCCTTCATCAGTGGTCACAGGACGCTGTTGGCTGGATATTTTTGGTTGGTGGACTATTCTCAGTCCAGCAGCGACACTGAGGTGTTTAAAAACTCCAGCAGCACTGCTGTGTCTGATCCACTCAGACCAGCGCAACACACACTAACACACCACCACCACGTCAGTGTTACTGCAGTGCTGAGAATGACCACCACCCAAATAATTCCTGCTCTGTGGTGGTCCTGACCATTGGGGTAACAGAGTATGCAGAGAAACAGTCTGTAACTGTAGAACTACAAAGTGCTCCTGTATGTAGCGGTTATGATGTACTTAATGAAGTGGGTGGTTGTTGTGCATCTCTCGTTGTCACTCTTACTCACCCTGTCTTTATGAGCAGGTAACACACAGGGCGGGGAATTATAGGCTTTCTGGATATCCACTCGCAGCGCAATTTGCTAGTGTGGAATTTCTTGCGGCAGGACAGGGTGGGCGCCTCTGGGGGAACTGAAAGAGGTACAAGAGAGTTTGGGAAATTTCAGTCCAGAGGCCTTTATGCATCACTTTTGCATATTCCTAACTGTGTGCAGTTCACATTACAGCCCAGTGAAGCGATTTTCACTCCGCCTTCCGCTGAGCTCTAAGGAGACAGAGTTGCGTGCAGGTGTGGTCCGAGAGCGGCAGTCGAGCGAAAACAGTGAGAAAAGCACAGAATTTCGGCACTTTATGCAAATAAAGTCTGCTGTCCAGTGATTGCATGTAGCAGTGATTTAACTGAAATCAGCGATTGGGAGATTTTTAAAACAATATTTGGCCTGTGTTCCTTTAGTCTCAGCCTGAGACGCTACATCCACACGAACAGGGGACATCTGATCTACAACAGTCTAAGGTGGCCCAAGCTTAGCTGGGATTTTGTCAGTTCTATTTTGTTTGACAATTAAGCCTGGCAGAAAACGAGCTCCCTGGGGAGGGTGATATGGCAAAGATATCATGTTTTCATTCTTAAAGGGAAATTCAACTGGTTTTTAAAAACGTATGCATAATTAAGTCGTTAAGAACAACAATAATTTCCCCTTTAATGACACTTTCACGATACACAATATGTATCATGATATTTTTAACACACTGCAGCAGCATTTGGTCAGTGTCCTTTAAATACTGATGATATCTACGATATACTCCGAAAGGCATTTAATGTATCACAATAGTATAACTTAATCTGACAGCGATAAAATATAGTCATACTGCCCACCTGTATCTCCTGCTCTGTGCTCAACAGCCTTTCAAAACTATACAAAAAAACTAGGTTTAGATATACAGCTGTATGCAAAAGTTTGAATCCCAATTTCTATTTAACATATTGGAAAAATCAAAACAATACATATAAAATGTGCAATAACTTTTGCACAAATCACATTTGTTTTGTTTTTTTTTCCTTATATGATAAATTTAGCAATTAAACAGTAATTGTGCATTAAAATAAGCAGACATATATCGTCTCACAGGGATGTGTGCTTTTCATTTTTTAGAAAATCAACAGAACATATCATTTGACCAGGGACACACAAACTTTTGCATAGGAGTGTAGTTGTGGGGCTTTAAAAAAAGTTCAAAAAAGAATTTTCTTTGAAGCATTTAGTTGTGCTTAAAGAAGATACTGCTATCTTTGTGTGTTTTCTGACACACCAATTAGTTTCCCATGGGTTTGTTATGGTTGTACACACAGTGATGTGAATCACTGCTATTATGAAACAACATAAGCTATTTGACAGCTAATGGTGCCCCTTCAATCTATAAACAGTCAGCATTCCCTGAACAGCTTTTTCTATTCAGGTTTGCAGTCAGGCTACAAACTCATATAAATATGTATCTTTTTTTTAATATAGACCTACAAAAAAATACATTTTATTCCTTAAAAACTTATGATGATGCAGGTTTGTTGTAAACTTATAATGATGCAGGTTTGTTGTAACAGTTGCCAAAACTGCTTCATACACTTTACCACACTGTCTATTCATTATATTCACAATAGTTTTCGCATTTTAAGCATTTTTCGATATCATGCACATCAGCAGGCTTCAAGCCCAATGCAAGGACGAAGTTGTTGTGCTTCTAACACTACATTCACATCAGCCTAATTACTGCATGTGAGAGATAATTTGATCCTTTTTGATTCTTTTCCTCACAGCCCTTAATCATGTGTTCACTAAGGATGCTCCTACAACATACGATTTACTGTACAAGCCCTACCTCCCACACTGATCTGAACAGTTGAAATGAGGTGGCCTCCTCTGTAGCAGCTGTAGTTTCCTGAGTCGGTCGGTTGGAGGGCGGGCAGTCTCAAAACCCCTCCTCTTTTCACACCCCTCACTTTCTGGCCGTTCCGAGTCCAGTGTGTCTTTCTTTTAATGGCTCTGGTCACCCGCAGCCCCTCCTCATTGTCCTCATAGTCCTCATAGTCCTCATACTCCGTGCTCGTACCTGTTGGCAGGGCGACATTTTAGTATCATATTAATGGACTTAACCATCTTCATGATAAACGCCTCATATCAATAATTCATCATAGACATGCTGATATTTTTAAGGCTGTGAATTCAGGGGGAAAAAAGCAAAACAATTTAAATTACTCATATTTAGGCCTTAGAAACAGCAGTTTTCACTGGTAATATCAAAAAGATAACGTCTGCTGAAAGTACAGATTATAAACTTTTAATCCTTACCACACTTGTGTTTTTAAGTAGAAGAGTAGATTTTTTTTATTATGATTTAAATTTGATAAAAAATCTACGGTCGTGTGTCCAGTCTTGTTTTACCAACTGTATTATTAATTAGAAAAGTGCATTTCCTGACAAAAAATGTGACTGCACAGCTTAGGCCATTCCCAGGTGGTTGCTAGGGTTTTGGTAGGCGGTCGCTGTGGTATTCCGGACTATGTGTTGTTAGGTGGTCGCTGTGTTATTTGAGTGTGTAATTCTGTAATTACAGGTGAACATTTATACAGTTTTTTACGATTGCTTACACGATAAATCACACACAGTTAGTGAAACCTGACGGAGCAAAACCTCAGCCCAGATCTGCACTACTATAAGTTCATTCTCAGCCTCAAACTTTTAGCAAAACACTACACACTGTGCAGAGCAGTGAACACAATTCTCTACATTAGACACAGGAATCTAACATGATGTCACTTCTATGCCATTTCAAGGCACTGCCTTTCAAAATACCACACCTGTGAACCGACCGATCAAACATGGCCATCAGGTGCACCAATCAAGTGTAAGCAATATAAAAAAGGCAACAGGTGAGTTTTTTTAATTCATGCTTTCTTGTTGGGCTCTACAAATGTTTTGCTGTGTTTATGTACTTTATTCTCCAAAATGCAACCTCTGGTTACTGAGCTCTGCTAAAGCCTGAGTAGACTGATAAATCAATGTGATCAGTTATTAATCTCAGCGTTACTGAGCTCTGCTAAAGCCTGAGTAGACTGATAAATCAATGTGATCAGTTATTAATCTCAGTGTTACTGAGCTCTGCTAAAGTCTGAGTAGACTGATAAATCAATGTGATCAGTTATTAATCTCAGTGTTACTGAGCTCTGCTAAAGCCTGAGTAGACTGATAAATCAATGTGATGGTCAGTTATTAATCTCAGTGTTACTGAGCTCTGCTAAAGCCTGAGTAGACTGATAAATCAATGTGATGGTCAGTTATTAATCTCAGTGTTACTGAGCTCTGCTAAAGCTTAGCATTGGTGTTGTACTGGACACCTTCTCAGGAGATTGTTGGAGCAGCAGAAATTAGCAGGTGGTGGGAAATAAACTAAATGTTAAGAATTTGTCATTTTCATTTAAATGATAAGTGGATTTTCCACAAAGATCACAGAAGAAAACTGCTAACATGTGACAGCAAGGAACAACGTGAATTAATAAAAATTTACAGTGTTTTCCCTTTTTAAATGTATTCAAAATGTAATTTGAGTATGTTGGGTTTTTTTATATTGTGATGGAATACATTACTGTACACATTTTGGAAAGTGTATTCAGTATTCAGCCATCACCACTTTTTCAAAGTTGCCCAACAACGTCAGTGTGCAGTTCTGGTCTTGTGCGTTCTGTTTGGCTATTTATATATTTTACTCTAACAATATCTCTGAATAAAATCAAACCTAAGACTATATGAACAGGAAAGCAGGACTGTCGTGCCTAAGCAATAAGGTTATGATTTCATCTTCAAATTTCTGTCAAACTTAACTCCATCAGGAAATCCATTCTGAATGATAAGATCATACATTCTCATCAAAAATCCACCCCACAGATTTTACACTATTCTTGTTGAATGGCTTCGCTCGCTGATTCAGATCATTCATTCCAGGTTAAGAGAGAAATAAGAGTGAAATTAAGAGTGAGTTTCGCCATTTTTCATGCACTATAACTGATGAAATGTAACCAGTGTAAAGCAGTAATTTCCTGCAAAACCTGCTCGTGTGTGTGTTCTGCTTCACTGAATGAAAAAGCTGCATTTGCCATGTTGTCATCATGAATTTCATGTATATTACAATTTATTTAGTTCTACACATTTTCTTTTGTTTTGCTTTCCAGACTTTTCAACGGCCTGATAAGAGGAAAAAATACAGAATACACAAAGAATCGACTGATATTGCGCAGTTTGCTTCTGCATAACTGAATTGTTAAGATGTAAACAAAATCATTCATGACTTTTTGACATCTCACTCTTTAAATTATGCAGAATTTTTGAAAAATCGGTGGAATTTAACCAACTTTCTTAAAAGATCATGGCACAGAAATGAAGTGAAACTGCCCTATTAATGAGCAGTCAGACACATTTCTAATCATTTGTTTTGGTTTTGTTGTTTTGTTGGTTTGTTTTGCTGGTTTGTTGTAGGAGAAACACGATGCAAATCCTGCAACATGACACTAAATTTACACGTAACTGCACTATTTGTCCTGTTAAAAGGTTTCCACCACATTACATCCACTTCATACCGATAATTGCCATGTTAATCACCTACATTATCAAATAAAGCGAAGCACAGATTTTTTCCTACTATACACCGTTTTATAAATATATGCTTATTTTTACTGCTTTCACGGGTCGCAGATTTCAAACTAGAATGGCCTACCAACCACTTAGCAACCACCTGGAATAACAAAGCTGGTGCTACGAAATCTGAGGTGTTTGTGCAGGTCTTGCTATGTCAAGCTAACTTCAATTTTGTCCACAAACTTGTCTCACATAGTTAAACATTAAAAGGCCAATTTGCAATATTTAGCAATATAAGTGCAATACTAAAATTCTGTCCACATTGTGCAGCCCAGCTAATAACCTTTTTATCAATAATCGTGCCAGCATTTACTCATACCCCTCTCAGAGCTCATCCCCATTTCCACAGTTACACTGAAAGCTCCTCCTTCTTCTGCAACTCCGCCCACTCTGTTTGACTGGGTGGACTGACTGACGGCAGAGTCACGCCTGTTCCTCGTCTGCTCCTCCGTCGTGATCGTAGGAGTTTTAACAGTAGTTACAGGTTCCCCTTTGGTTTCAGCAAATGTTCCAGTGGCACTCTTGTTTTGGTACATGCCAGTTACGGCACTGTTCCTGATGGTAGAATGGTATGTTCCAGTAGTACCGGTATTATCTCCCTCCCTTTGGGACGTCCAAAGGCCAGTTGTGGCTCCTCTCCTCCTGAGTCTCTCCTTCTGCTTTGTACCCATCTCTAAAGGCACGCCGTCCACAGTAACGTCGCCAGCGCAGCCCAGGATGACCTCGCTACCCATGGTCAGAGCCAGAACACCAGGAGGAGTTTCTGAGAAAAGAAACATAAGATAAAAATAGTTCTGATGCCAGTTAAAGATGACAGTAAAGCCTGTTATTCAGCACCTTCCTATTGGCTGCTATTGTCAGTGCGTTTTGAGTCAGCAAGTTTTCCTTTAACAGAGGTCCAGGAAATCAACATCGTTGTCCATGGTAACTGACCAAACATTGGAGATGAGGCCTACAGAGATTAAACTGGGGGAAAAATAACCGTTTAGCTTATTCTGCACAATGTTCTTCATATTTCTGTGTATAAGGTGAAACATTCGCCTACGACTGTATAGAGGATCTGTTTCACTGCGCTTCATAACTGCTGCCACTGGTGGTGTAATTTGTTTTTATTTTGTATTGTTTTTTGTTTTTTGAATTGTTGTTGGGTTGCCGTCGTTAACATTCATAAAAACCATTCTTTTTCCTTTTCTACTGTCTGCAAACCTCTTTGGCAACAGTGTTAAATTTTCAAAGTAGCCCAAAAAAATTGATCACTTTTTTAAAAATAGCCCGATTCAGTGTGAAAACCGTAAACGTGGCAACTCAGTAGATCATCATGTGGAGCAAACAGACTGGAGAACAGTCCATTAGGAGAGAAAACAGGGGAGGGTGAAATAATACTGTAATGACAAAAATGAAATGTAATGTAATAATCAAGACATTTATTTTGTGCATTTCTTTTGTTCTTCTTACAAGCTCGTCAATACAAGAAAAACGTATATTTCGAGGGTTTCTCTAGTGTTTATATGAGTACATTTTCCCATAATCCAGCAGATTAAGGAAGATCCAATTATATTTCTGCATGATTAAATTATTAAGATCTAAACAAAGTCATTCAGAGAGGTTTGGTGTGAAATGCTCAGTTCTAGAGAAACTTACTAGCCACGTTTACATGCAGCCTAATAATCCGTTAATAATCTGCTAACAGCTCAATCAGAATAGAATACGTGTATACCTCAAAATACACTAGTCTGATTGAGGACATTTGGAATACAATTTCTATCCGACTGAACGAGGTGGGTAATCCTGTAAATAATCCCTTAAATAGAAGAATAATAACCATGTAAACGCCTGTATCTGATTACATTCCCTATCGGAAAGTTTAAGTCCGTTCTGATCATGTTCGTCACGTCATAGTGAAAGTTTATACCGTTCAACATGGCGGAGCAGAAACTGGTCTGCAGAGGAGACGAAGTTTATGCTCTGATCTTTAAAAGACGGCGGTGGGACGGACGTCCAGCTTATGTGTCTAAGAACACGACGTCTTTCTCTCGCCGCTTCCTTAATACATGTTAAGTAGAATTTTAAAGCAATTAAAAACACAAGCCCACCAACTGAAAACTCGTCTCACTCTGACTGGACCTCACGTGATGCTTGTTGTCATGGTAACGTCTACACTAAGTGGTTCTCTGTGCTCCTGGATCTGATTACTTGTAGTGAGCCTGTAAACAGAGATTTTCCATCAGATTATTGAGTAGAGTGAGAATATAAACACCTCAGTCTTAATCCATAATCAGAATTTATTTGGATTGGCTAAAATCTTTGCATGTAAACACAGACAATGACTCAGAGTTGTTCACTGTGGTGGAGAACCAGATGTCCAAAATGTTAATGCTACATCACAGGAAGTTATTACATAAATTGGTCATGACGTCTGAGTACGGAAGGGCAATATGTTCAATTGTTATCTTAAAAAATGATCACAATATGCTTTTCTGAGCATATCGTGGATATCGTCAATACTTAAACACTGAATAACCATGTTTCATAACAAAATGAACAATACTAGGCTTTTTAATTGGATTTAGTTCAATGCAGTTTGGAGAAAAAAAATATTTAAATCATTGTAGTTTTTTTTCCTTGCGCTTTACAAACTCCTCTGACCACTAGTTTTTGTTTTTTTTTGAAAGGCTTTCTTCTTTGTGCCTCAAGCTCCTCTTCTGACCACTGTATTACCCATTTGTAAATGGCTATCTTTGCACTGTAGACACTGTGACCCCTGGTTCCATTCACCACTGTTATAAAGAGGTGGTACGTTTATCTAGAACAGAGCATTTCACATCAAACCATTCTGAATGACTTTGTTTACCCTCTCTGGGGTCTCAGCGCAATTTCTCGATTTTTGCACATCTTCTTAAATTCACCTTTAAAGTCACTTGCACATAACATGATACCCAAATGTTTCATATGAAAATGCTCCGCTATCTTCGTCTTCAGCAGCTGTAAACTCTCTGCACACCATTTCATGTGTCTCTGATGTCAAATGAATGTAGAATGAAGGGTTTCATTCGTAATGGATCAGTCCTTAGTGGTTTCCTGAGTGTCCATTGGTCAGTTTCGCGCAAAATGTAGACAGACACACAGTGAGAGGCAGATGACGTGTACATCTCTTCACAGCTTAATAACTCTGGAGTCACGTATGATCTCATGATAAGATGGACTAGAAAGGGCGACTCTAAAGATTCAGGAATGTTTGAACAGTATTATTGTGCTATATTATCATGAAGATAGAGAAACAAATACAAAAGCATTAAATTTGACGTACAGGCGAGTTTGTGGACCCCAGAGGGTTAAATCTTAAGAGACTAAATTATGCATAAGTTTAAAAAAAAGCTAAACCGTGGAAATCCCCTTTAAAAACAATAGCTTCCCAGCCTGTTTTCTCATCTTTGCTAAGGTTTAGGCCTTAATTCTCCAGGGCACCAAATGTTGCAATAACTTACTCGCTTGTCTGCTGGAATGGGGATGATACGTTTTTGGGCGGGGGTTACAATAAATTAACAACAACACAAAAAAAAAAAACGTTTCCTGGCCTTGTGTGTGTGAGTTTGTGTGAGTGTGTATGTGCGCGAGTGGAGGTCGTGGTTGGCTGATTTTTTGCAGATAAACTGCTAAATTGCACAATGGACCACCGCACTTGTTCTCAGTTCCTTCTTCCAGTCGCTCTGATTCTTCTCCATTTGCTCCTTCCCTCTCTCTCTCTCCTGCCTGCTCTATGTGCCATATTTAGTATTAAACCTCTATTGAAGAAAATACAAAAATTTCTCAAAATGTATGCATAAATAAAGGATTAAGACGTAAACAAAGTCATTCAGAGTGGACTGATGTGAAATGCATGATTCTGGAGTCAGAATTGATCACAGTGGCAGTGATAGGAACCAGACAGCTACAAGCTACAGCATAAAGTTTTTAGATGAAATGGTTACAAATACGTGCTGATACCTCAGACACTGTGTTTCGATAGTCCTGAGATACAGTTCTGACCTAAAACACATTTCTTTTAACCCCATTCATGGCAGAGAGGAACATGTAGGACATTTTAAGGCAAAAGTGTCAGATTTTACCATCATTCTTGTAAAACTATGAGGATATTAGAAATCTGTGTTTCTTTACGATGAACCATTTTACATAAAAACCACTCTGGACGACTTTGTTTACAACCAGTGAATTCTGAAATACCGGTGGAATTTCCCGTTTCAAAGAACTTTAAAAGTCGTCTTTTCTGTTTTTAAACATTGAAAATGAATCATTTTTAAACAAAAAAATAATAATCAGCACACAATAATCAGTGCGATCAGTATCATATGGTATCTAACCTTTCAGAATGAATCAGCTTTGGATTCGCTCTGGTTGAAATGCCTGCTTGGTAGGGAAAGTCCCACCTGCTGTTTATGTGATATTAATATTTGCACTGTTTATTATCTGTATGTAGACTGATCTATTAGAAGCCAATCATCCATTAACTGTATAGCTCTAAAAGTAAGAACCATATTATACAGTATGTGGATACTGGTACAGTGGCTAGATAAGCGGATAATTAGCCTTTACTGCTTTTAAATATCACTATAATTGCACAGATATCATTAACACAGTAGCCTAAAAGCATCCTCAGGATGATCAATATTGTGGTGAATTATGTCTAAACATAAGTCTTATGTAGAAGTTAACAACCCTGGTCAAATTACATTAAATTACAAACACCCTCGACAGGGAACAAACTTAAATATGGGCAATTTTAGTGCACAATTTCTACTTATTTGCTGATTTCAATATGCACAGGCCATATTTTATGTCTTCATTTTCCCCCCAATAATTTTTCCCTCACTTACGAAATCTCAGAACTAAATGCAGTGATGCAGATCGTGTGTCAAGAAAATGAAGCATCATGATATGATATTTTTGCCACATCACCCACCTATATATCTTTGACATAATGGTTCAAGTAGAGGTAAAAGTAGCTACACTCAGTGGCTAAAATGGAACAGAGTAGTTCCAAGTAGGCTTAATTTTCTCACAAAGACACTTGAGAGTAAGTCAAACTAGAGCTGGGCGATATGGCACAAACGCAATATCACAACACTTTTCACAATACACGATACGTCACGATATAAGTTTCTTCTGACTTTTGATAAGCTGGGTAAAACAAAGCTGTGCCACATTTAAAAGTGATCTAATCATTTAATTTCATAATCTTTTTTAAATTATTTTTAAAATTATTTTTCTAAAACCTAAATTTGGAGTACAATGAATTTGTACTCATTATTTCAGATACTGCACTGCACTAAATCCAGTTAAACAGGACTGTTTCTGCTCTTATTGCTCATATTACCCAGGATACTGCGAAGACTAGCTAGAGCTAGGAGGTCACCCAAATCGAGATATTGCTTTTCGGTTTTGTGATAGTTTTAGTGATATATTTGATCAAAAATAAGGAATATATCCACAATATAACACCCATAAAATAGTCTAATTCTATTTTGTGCACTTTAATGATGGTAAACACAACTTAGTAGTTAACTTTTTGCTGGATGCTTCAGATTATTTCCATAAAAATAAAATAAATAACACGTTTCGCTTCTGGAAATGTTGTTTCTATCTGTTCTACTCTATTGTCCACAGCTCTCTGCCATTTTAAGAGAAGAAACAGAAAAAACAGCCCAACTAGGGCTAAAGGATTTGTGGAATTGCGATTTAAATGTGATTATTATCTTTATATTGAGCTCCAAGACCTTTTTGGCCAATAAGAATTTCATTTTTTCAACTTAAATCGTGCAAAGATAACTGAATAGGATATATTCACTCATGATATCATTGAAATAGCAGTGATTTAAATACTGTAAACGATTCATCGTTCAGCTCTGAACCCGGTTAAAAAGGTGTGTATCACGTTTGGGAAGTGTTTTTTTTTTTAGCAATTAACAGGCAAAGCTTTATTATAAATGCTAAATTAATGGGTAACTTTATTCACAATTACTTCAATAACATTTCATGTCAAAATAGTGCGAATTATTTACCACCTTCTTTTGCTAATTGTCCGTTCCACCTTAAATGGCGCAGCAGTTACATTCTGGCGCCTGTAACTGCTGCGCCATTTAAGGTGGAACGGACAATTAGAAAAAGTAGCCAAATTCAGCCTCGTCAAAAACATAAGCATATTAAACTAGCAAAACTGTACTTTAATACATATAACCGAGTAAAAGTGACTAAGATAAATATCCCCTTCTGGTCAAAACATTATGCTAAGCACAGCGGCTAACAGTTTATTAGCTAATTATCCTCGGGTTCATCCAGAGCGTTAAGGTTAACGGTTGAATGAGGTTTCTACTTTAAAAAAAAACTGTCCTTTCCAATAAATTAACGCCCTAAATCCTGGAACTACAAACAGGGATAAAGGCTATATTGACTCACCTTTCCGAGGACATATCTCAGGTTCTTGAACACACTGGACTTTGACAGCAAACAAGCCGGAGAGTAGCAGGAGCGCCGACTGGAGTCTCATCGTCAAGTCAATTCGCCATAACTAACGAAATAACGAGCTGACAGCACTAACATATGAAGCTCAACGAGCCGTTGAAGTACAAAACAGGAAGAAAAACGGCCACAGCGAGTTATAACCCGAAAAAATGAAATAAAATGAAATAAAATGCCTTAGGTTTACGTTTACACGGCCAGCCCAGGCTGCTTTGGTAAAGTCCAGCCTGGTTCTGTGGAGTTTGTGTCAGGGGGAGTTGCTTTAAAGCTAATGTTTGGTTTTCAGATTGTGTGTAGCCGGAGATTTCCCAAAGCCTGCCCCTTTCCCTTCACTCTGTCTCTGCAGCCTGTTGACAAATTCGTTCTTGCGCAACGTTCAACCCCTCTAACAGTACATCAGGACATGGACAAACAAACTGACCGTGTCAAGGACCACGAGGGTGGAATAACAGCCTCAAAACTATCCCCAAGTAACAGTAATGGAGCACACTGAAACACAAGCAGGTACCACAGACGCTTCTCAAGTACTGATGAACATGATGTTATTAAAGGGGAATTCCACCGATTTTTCAAATTTTCTGAAAAAATCATTCGTTGAGGTGTGAACACATTCAGAGTGGTTCATGTGAAGTGATCAGTTATGGAGAAATGTACCGTGTCAAATTTCTTTAAAATGGTGGTGATAGGAACCAGGGGTCACAATGTCTGCAGCACATTGTATCTACTATCCAAAACAACCATGTGTCTTCTGAGTTTTTATGCGTAATGTTGATGATGGTAAAATATCGGTAAATCTGGGGAAAAAAAGTTCTTTTTCCTTTTGTACTTTGCTTTATGGCACCTTGCACCACCATGACATGTTTTAGGCCAAAACCTTCTCTCAAAACTGTCATAAAACAATGTCTCAAACATCAGGCAGCACATTCATAACTAATAACTTTCTATAGGGGGGGCATTTTAGAGGCAACTCCTCAGACGTCTGGTTCCTATCACCATCACCGTGAATTCAGACTTTTGTAGAACGGTGCATTTTACATCAAACCACTCTAAATGTATGTATTGATTTAAGCAGAATTTTTTTTTTTTACGCAGAAATGGTGCAAAATGTTCAGTGGAATTCCTTTTTAATCTGTTGGACATCTATAAATACTGAAAAAGTATATTTTGTTGTTGAGGCTTCTGCATAGTTTTCTGTTAAATATATCACTGAAGTTATAACAAACCTCGTATATCCATTTTTGCCGTTTTTCAGTTTTTGACATAATTTGTCTGTTACCCTTTAAAGGGTAACCAAAAGAAACGGCCCAAAATCGGAAAAAAGTCTAGTTCCTTTGACTTACATTGAAAGTAAAGTAGGTTTTTTCCTTCTCCTGTAAAGTTACAATTATAGACATACGAGGTTTTGTTCCAGTTGTTTTCTTTACTTAATAGCCTGGAAATGAAATAAATGAAGGACGGTCACTGACTTTTGCACAGTACTGTATTGCAGTGTCTTCCAACTCCATTCCACTTTATATCTCCTTGCTATGGCTACAAGTATAAGTTAAGGTTAGATTGACAGCTTAACAGTCATTAGAGCACTACAATGCTACTAAGACCATTATAATTGGAAGTCCTGCGTAGATATCATTGTGCAGAAGCCTAAAACCACTGTTAAGGAAACGTCAAGTTACTTCATTGACATAACGACTCAAGGAGAAGTAAAAGTAGCTGAAAATTTGAATTTAAATATAGTACTGAGTTCCCTATAGAACTCCTGTGGAACTTCAAAGCACATTCAGCATTTATTAGCTTAACCTTTTCAACTCCTTGGAACCACCAGTGGTTCCAAAGCGCACTTCGTCATGTTCTTCATAACTTTCATATTTCATAAGCTACATTCAAAAGGTGGGGGTCGTATTAGAGCTGTAACTGTCTTCTTTCCAGTCAAATAGATGGGTGATGTAATTTTAAACCCTTATAATAAAAGAAGCTGAACTCTTTTTTTTTTCTACTGAAAGTCGACATGTTTTTCCACAAATCTGGGCTATAAACTATAAACAGATGGCATCTCTTTTCAATGATCTGCTCTGTAAAAATGATTTTTATAAAATAATACAAAGAGCGTCTAAGATTTTTGGCTTTCAGCAGTAAATTGTAAGAATATAGGAATATGTGTGATCATAAAACACATGTTCTGTTCATTTGAGGGGAACTTTTACAAAAAATAAATAAATGAAAATTTACATTTATTTCATAGTTACTGAATAATTTGCCTGACGATTTGGGCATGTAAATTCAGATGGAAAAACCAAAATATACCCACGGGCCTAAGAGGATAAGAACTGAAGTTTCAGGCACTATACTTCTCTTTTTTGGCCCTTCTGGTCAGTGAAGCGAGCTAAACCAATACAACAGAACAATAAATGAAACATTAAAAGAGATGGGAGCTCCATCTGAAGTCCTTTCTTCGCAAAATATACTTAAGTGCATATTAAATTATTTGGAAATACTCAGAAAAGACCGTCAAAACGGTACATAAGTAGATGGAACTGACTAGTTACTATTTTTATTACCTTGTTAATTCACTGTACTGGTCACACTAAGCACAATTCGTCAGATCAGATTCATCGAATCATCCAACTTCTAAGACTGAACCAACTTCTATTGAACAACCAACTTCTGAGACTGAACTTTTGGAAAAAAATATCCAATACCAGTTCATACCAACCAGTTTAATATGATGCCCTTGGACCAGGACCTTCATACAGCCCCAGTTCTTTTTACGTGAGCACTATAAACTGAAAGGATATTAAGGTTCCTAAATGGTTCTTGGCTTGGATGTATGTAATACAGTATGGAACTTTTACATCATACAGAGGTTCTTTGACCTTTAGAAATGTCCGTAACTTGCATCTTATTTGCATCGTATTATTCTTTGAGGAGAAATCCAATCAAAGGTTTTTTAGTGCAGTGGTTCTCAAACTGGCCCTCAGGGACCCCCAGATAGTTCACATTTTACTATATCCCTATGTTTTGCGAGTTGCTTTGAACAAAAACGTGTCCCTGAGGACTAGTTTGAGAACCACTGCGCAAAAGAACCACTGAAGGACCTTTTTCAATGGATCATTCAAAGGAAAACTACTTCTGTAAATGAGATGTGCAAGTTAAGAACCTTTTTAGGGTCAAAGAACCTTCACATAATGTAAAGTGGTACCGCACTGCTCCAAAGAATCCACTCATAGTCCATAACAAAACATCACACACACTCTTAAAAAAGATGGTTCTTCAAAGGTTCTTTAGCAAAGAAAATGGTTCGATACAGAACCATGAGCGCTCGAATAACTTCTTGCAAGATTACAGAGTTCTCTGCATTATGAAAGGGTTCTACAGATGCACGGAAATGTGCATTAATCTGCTACAGGTGGTTCTATATAGAATCTTTTTGAAAAGGGTTTGATATGGAACCATGAGCACTGAAAGAACCTTTTGCAAGATTATAGGGTTCTTTGCATCTTGAAAGCGTTCTTCAGATTGATGGAAATGTGCCTTAATGTGCTACAGATGCATCTATATAGAACCTTTTTAAAAAGGGTTCTACATAGCACCCAAAAGGATTCTTCCATTGTTACAAGCTTGACATCGTAACAATAGAAGAACCATTTGGCTGCTATACCTTTTTCAAAAAGGTTCTATATTAAATAAGATTACAGTGTTCTTTGCATCATGAAAGGGGTCTTCAGATTGATGGAAATGTGCAAAAATGTTCTACAGATGGTTCGATATATAAGGGTTCTGTATAGCACCCAAAAGGGTTCTTCTATTGTTTCAAGCTTGACATTGTGGCAGTAGAAGAACCCTTTTGGGTGCTGTATAGAACCCTTTTTCAAAAAGGTTCTACATAAAACCATCTACAGCACATTCTCAATCAATCTGAAGAACCCATTCATGATGCAAAGAACCCTGTAATCTTGCACAAGGTTATTTGAGTGCTCATGGTTCTATTTAGAACTATTTTCTTTGATAAAGAACCCTTAAAGAACCGTCTTTTTTAACAGAAACACCGCCATCATAAGCTCAATGTGAGAGTTGCACACAAACACAGGTCTTCTTGAAGAAGTCATGAACATCTTTAATCATACTTCGCCCACTTTCCAACATCTCCATCATAAGGATGAAGGTCATCTACAGTTGTTACACTTCAAATCCGAACACATTCTGGATCACAAACAGTGGCGACCACAGGACATTAGCTTTAGCTTGGCTGGACCATCGTATTGCAATAGAAAGAGAAATGCCTACATGGAGAGCAAAGAGCCTACAAATCAACACAGGCGCTTTCGGTCATTCAAGGCGAATCACCTCTGCTGCGTCTTTCCATCCTCAGACTCTAGAGACTGTTAAATAGGAAGGTTCGGTCCACTTTAGGGTGAAGAAACAGCCAATGCCGAGTGGTTATGGTCATGAACACATACAACACTTACGGATGCCGTTTAGCACATGTACCTAAGGCCACGTTTAGATTCAGACTGCAGATGGGATCCGTTTGACGGCTTTGTGACATTCTTCACTAGTTCATTCCTTTTAGGATCCAGAAGAGCAGACTGAGTTTGAGTGAATGTGACTCCGGAAGTCCAGCTCAACAGTTTGGTGGAGGTTTGTAGCTTGGAGCACCAATATGGTGCAGAAGAAGTCGAGTGAGAGTTGTATTCCGTTTGGTATAGTTCTAATCACGTTCTCATAGAGAACCGCAGTGTAAAAGTGCCACTCTTGTAAGTCTGTGGTTGTTACTACAGCTGTGATTAGCTTCAGGGCTGTTCCATCATCCACAGAACTATGTCCTTTTCCAGTTTATGGGTATTTACCAATACTCAGCTGATCATCACGGTGAGGAACATACCATCCTAGTACGTCCCAATATGTCCCATTGTGTCCAAATGTGTCTCTGTGCCTCCCCATATGTCCCAATGCCTCCCTATGTGTCCTAAATGTGTCCCCATGTGTCTCAGTATCCCCCAATATGTCCCAAAGTCTCCCAATTTGTCCTAAATGTATCTCAGTATGTCCCAACATGTCCCCATGTGCCCCAATGTGTCCCCATGTGTTACCACATGTCTCAGTGCCTCCCGGTATGTCTCAATGTCTCCAA